TATCATATATCAACGGTGATTCAGAAAAAAAGATTAAAAAAACTTTATTGATGCCAGTAATAACTTTTTATAAGAATTTACAGTACACGTAAAAATTAAGAGTCTTCCATGTGATGGTAAGCAGTCCTTTTAGTCCTAACAGTAAATGAAATGAGGCTGTGCATAACCGTAGAGTTTTGCGTTTACGTTTCCAGAGATGAGCTTTTGGTGATATATTCATGTTTCATGCAGGAACTGTTACGACCATTTCAAAGATCTGTTTGCGCTTTAAGTATTGCAAAACAAACTATATCAAATCTGCAATCACTATTCGTTATCCAGTGAAAATCTTACCGTAGCTTACTTAGCAGAACACAGACATCCGTTTTGTGATTTTCTTGTATAAAAGAACATGGCAATTGCCCAACAAGAACGTAATTAGATTTTCGGTGATGGCGTGCATATATTGATATTATTGCTATTGTAAAGAGACATGACAGTTATCATAAACTAAAGATATTAAGAAGTAAACGAAAGGTGTATGTTCAGATATTCAAGTCAATTATATGTACTTTTTTCTGCTATAGCCACTCTGTAAAGCAGCTTCGGGGATTACAATAAGTAGGGCCGAATGCGTTATAGGGAGGATGATTAATATTGTTGTTCAGACTCCCCATCACTTCCTTGCTCGGGATCCATATTGAGGCCAGATGAAAAGGCTTTACCACTGTAAGATTAAAGGAAAAGGAGGATTGTAGATTATTTGTTGGTATTTTTTTGGACTTTCCCTCTGTGGTACCTTTGCTTTGAGTAAGTCCAGGTAGATGTATCTTTACTATGATGACTTAACGGGAATATTTTCATTTTGTCGATACAGTTGGCAAAAGGCAAAGCATACAGAGTATAGGTTACTCAAGTATTTTTTTTTTTGTGTGTGTAACATGGAGGGGAACAGCTGAAAGATGATACATTCGAACATAAAGACCATATACCGAGCATATTTCGTAAGCAAGAATTAATGGTTTATGAAAGATCGCGTTTATTTGCAAAAAAATGGGCAGCTTCAATATTGTTATACAATTTCCTTAGATAAACGATTGCACAGTGTGAAAAACACACGGAAACTTATGTTCGGTATGGATTTGTGCCGTATAAATTATGTGCCTTTGATTAATGAAGGTAGGTCTTGCTCTATTAGCTAAGTAGTGTGAATAATATAGGTCATTTTCTCTAACATAATGTTTCCCACATGTAATCTTCCCATCAGAAAGGGGTTTCATGTACGTAGACGCAATATATAGCATAATGATGAAAGGAAGATTGTATATTCCAGAAATTAAGCAATAAATAGATCTATATCATGAAGTTGCAAAAATCAATTAATGTAGTAACACACGAATGGCATTATATAAGATTCTCTGACCAGGAAACGATAAAGGGTTAAACTGTAGTTTACAAGTTCAACCGCATCATAACCCTTTTTACACTCTCGCTCCATAAAGTCCGAGAAATAAAGGAGAAAGAAAAGAAATCTTTCCTTGTAATTATAGATACGTTAGCACAGAAAGTACAGTCACACTCACTTCTCCAGCAGACCTGACTCGCGGTGTCCTGTTACCTCACTGACAGCAATCATCCGTCAAGTTTCAATATTTACTCGGCTTTGTCGGTGAAATCCACAGCATGAAAAGTTCCGCGTGATGTAAGACCAGACACCGGCCACTCCTTGTTCCTTTACTCCTTTACTGCACTATCTGCGAATATGTGTACCGTTCATTGGAATCCCTTTGTTTTTTGCTTTGTTTGGCTTTGTGTACCTGATGTAGACACAAACCGGAGTCTTGCCTACGAAAGCTATTCATTTGGTAAGAAAATTAAACTTGTCATTATCTATTTTCCTCGCATGTGTAAATCAATGTTAACTATTAAAAGATTAAAGATTCGTGTGCTATCACTGCACTGCTTGACAGTTCGCGTTCAGTATCTTCTAGAAATCTATCCCACATAATGTTCATTTAGTTAAATCCTTTTGTTGGTCTGAAGTGGGATTTATTCCGTTGCAAAATTGATCAAATATTAGTTGAAGTTGGTGATCTAGCCACGTGTAATACATCATTTTTCAATCCACTCACAACTTTTACTTGAGACGTTAACAATAAAGGTGACACAAAATATACGAAGCATATGCAAGGATCAAAATTTCTGAAGCACTCTTGTTCGAATATTCAAGTTCATTAAAGCACCTGAATGTCATTATTAAGTCCACATTTTTGGTAATATCAAGCATGTCATCTAATTCTAGAACGCTAAAGAAAGAAATGTGTATAATTACAGTATTTTACACCAATGCGTGTTAATGTATTAAATTACTGTATGTGTTTATGTTGGAATAATTGTTAATGGTAGCCATTAAGCGGAAATTAAAATCGCACCTTTTTATTATCAGTCACATCGAACAGATTTTATCCTTTGAAGAAAATTCTTTATCTGTTTTCAGTCCTTATCTGTACTTATTACAACTACCACTATCATCCTCATCATCATCCTCATGATTATTAAAAGCATCGTTAAAAATAAAATGACAAGCACTTCAACACTGTATCGGACACGAGATAGTTACAGATATTAAGGTAATTAAGATGAGGTAAAGGTAAAAAAAAGTGTGGGCGTGTCTAGTCCTTCATTACGCGGACCTTTTCATGTTGTGGATTTCACCAACAAAGCCGAGTAAATATTGGGACTTCGCGGTTATGAGGCCGAGTGCTGTCAGTGAGGTAACCGGATCACTTGAGTCAGGTACAGAAGGAAGGGGAGGGAGGGGGGAGGGGGGGGAGGGTATTCCTATGATTAGTAACGCTTCTAATTCAGTAATCGTTTGATTGGGAAATTTTTACTGTCTTGGAGCTGGGCGATTTTAATATGATTGGATTGGCCAAGTTCACCGAATAGGGAAAGGTCCAAGCGATCGAGTTCAGCCTCTCGGATTCCCTTCGGCGCTACCTGTTAATTGCCCGACCACTTGTTGCCTCACCTGACCTAATCCCAGCCCGTGTAGGGTCAGCGATTCCCGGCGTTCGGCGACCTTGAATTTTCCGCCTGGAGAATCCAACTGGAACGTGCGCCTACATGTTGGCGATCGTCGGAGAGTGGACGGAACAGCGGGATAATGTGCAAATCCCGCGGTGGATTTCCGTCTACATGAGGATCAGAAATGGCACGTGGCAGTGACAGTGATCATCTGTCATGTTGTTGATGTGGCTATGATAGTGGATACCGGTGATCTAAATGGTGATAGTGAAAGTAATATTGATGGTGACGGCAAATGACATAATGAAAGAAATGGATAAGGATTTTGACAGCAATATTGGTAGTAAAGATATAATGTTGATATTGTGAACATCGCCGATAATGGTTATAATAAAGATAACCAAATAATGACCATGTTAAAAATATGACAAAATAACGATCATGTTAAAAAGAATAACGTGAAGATTCTAACGTCATTTATAAGAGCAATGATTGATAATGATAAAGAATAGTTTCAATATTATGACAATGATTATAATGATAATAGTGATGTCAAGGATAAAACCAACCATAATGACGATAATAATGATAAGAATAGCAATAAAAATATACTACTACTAATAATATAATGATAATAACAATAATAATGATAATGATAATAACAATAATAGTGATAATAATAATAGCCATAATTATAATGGTAATGATAATGATCATAATTATGATAATAATTCTATGATAAAATAATGACAACAATTATGATTATGATCATTTTATGATAAAATAATGATATTGCTACTGCTAGTGATAATAATACAATATTAGAATCCGTAGCAATACAATAATCATAATAATGATGGTAATGATAACAAAAATATTAACAATGATGATAATGAATAATGAATATAATGATAATGATGATAATGATGACAATGATGATATGATTAGAGATGATTATGATGAATGATGATGACGATGATGATAATGATGACGATGATGATGATAATAATAATAGTATATAATAATAAAATAATGATAAGTATGATTAACATCATGAATGTTAATAATGGTAGTAATATTAAGATTATAATAATATTAATAATAATGATAATAATAATAATAATGATAATAATATGATAATAATAATAATGATAATAATAATAATAATAATAATAATAATAATAATAATAATAATAATAATGATAATAAATAATAATAATAATGATAATAATATAATAATAATAATAATAATATAATAATAATAATAATAATAATGATAATAATAATAATGATAATAATGATAATAATGATAGATAATGATAATGATAATATAATGATAATGATAATGATAATAATGATAATAATAGATGAAATGATAATAATAATAATGATGATAATATATTAATGATAATGATATAATAATAATAATAATAATAATAAATAAAAAAGTAAAATTAACAAATCATAATAATAACAATATGAATATTGGTAATGAAATAGTGATAATGCTAATAACAGTGATGACAATGATAATATAATGATAGTAGTAGTAATAATAATATTAATAATTATATTACTAACAATAACGAAAATATCAATATTGATAATCATGATACTGAAAAAGATGTTGATGAAAATAATGTTAATAATTACTATTATGATGATATTAACAATAATGGTACTGATGACGATGATAATGACATATACAGGGAATAATCATGCTAGAAGTATATATTTGATATGAGGAGTACCGGCGGTGGTAAATCATAAAAAGAAAAGAAAAAATTTCCTTGAATCAGTTGATTGTTAATATTCATAAATTGTTGCAGTGCCATTAGCTGTGCTAATCTCCTGGTCGACTCTAATTAAATTAAATTAATAAATCTTATCTGTTTTCCACAGCCAATCCCAACCCTCCACGTCACATGGAAGGCGTGGTCTTCCTGACCGCTGGCATTTAAGCGCACTCAGCAATTCCACGACCACACATCTCACTCGCACTCCCATCTCTTCGGATCACCAGTGCAATCCTTTGTCTGAAAGATGAACTGCATCAACAATGGAACCATGGCCGCCATGGCAGCAGCCCTCGCCGCCAACTCCACCATGTCGTCCGATAAGACACAGATGCGCCTCTACCTCGATAGACTCAAGGCCATGGTGCCTCAGTGTCCCAAGAACCGCAAGGTGTCCAGACAGGAGCTCATCGAACACGTCATCAACTACATCAGCGACCTCGAGGACACCCTCCAGTCAGACTCGGATTCAGAGGCCGACAGTCCTCCAGCGAGTCCTACCACTGACTTCAGCTTCAGCGACTCCTTCAACCAGTATGCCCAATATAGTGGCTACGACCAGCAGTCTCAGTTAAGTGGCTACACTCAAGACTCTCATCTCAGCGGCTACAGTCAGCAGCCCCAGTTCGGAGACTCGTTCAAGCAGCAGCCCCAGTACGGCGGTTACGGAACGCAGCCTCACCAGTACTCCAGCAGCAGTACAGCCAAGAAAACTCCATGA